TCATTGTCTGCAAGTTTTAGAATTAACAGGACTTGCAATCCATTCGCAGACTATATCTTCATCAGGCAAATTTTTCATGATTCAAGTACACGACCCGTGAAGTGTGCTCTATTTACCCACTGACTTAGATGGTTCTTTCAATTACGTTGCCATTCAAAGCCTACGTTTTTTGGATATAGATCGCTCGAAGCAGGTCCTTCCGTGCAACTGCGTCGAGGTGTCAAATCAAAGACGTAAATAAACCTATTGAAGCCTGGCCTCCAGGGTTACCCGGTCTTGTGCTTTACGGGCCTGCCGACGACAGCAACAATAGACTGCATTAGTTATGTCGTTGACACGCAACGTGGACGTTTCCGGCTTTGGGCTCTACAGTTCGCGGAACTGACCTTCCATCCGCTTCATATTGGGTCGGGAATCTACCGAAGACAATCAGCGATGGTAAATAATCATTGGTTATGCCTTGGAAATGCCACACAGAGTCGGCCAAATAAGTAACGAGGGATACCATTAATAGTTCAAGTAAATGATTATAGTTAAGGTCGGAGCATTTGAAAGCTTTCAATTAGCTCTTAGCGTTAACACCGGTGACCATTGCAGTGTTAAGCTTAGAAATAATTCTTCCACCGTCCCCTCATGCTGAACTATATTGTGTTTGCAACCGTGTTTGACACCTGGAAAATTATCAGCCAACATTGTGATGACTGACACCCAGCTCATATAGAGCCGTTACTAGTCTAGCAAACGTCTATTTTTTATCTCATTCATGAAAATTTCTGTTTAGATTGCTTGTAATAACGCGGTTTTATTAGAGTCAGCAATATAATGCTATGCAATTTTATGTCTTTAGGGGAAACACCGTCCTCTCAATGTTTCTTTCTATATCTGAATATTTGAGAAAGTATAACATCCAACCCGAGTTTCAAGCCAGCACAGAAAAGATATTTAGTTATTTTAAAGAGGAAAGATTACACAATGAAAATGTGAACCTGCCGCAAACCAAGCCTAAAAAAGACAAGCTGACAGAGGAAACTGTCAAGTCATCTGGAAACTGCGTCTGGTAGGCTCCAGCACCCTCTTTACACGTCCTGTTAGCACATATCAGCTGTTGTACAAACCACCAACCTTCATGAAGCAATATATGGGTTTGCTAGCAGCATTCTCAGGCAAGGATTCTATGGCCTCCTCAAAGGGTTCCCCATCGCAGCAAGAACAGAAACGTTTGAAAGAATTTCGGGCAGGATCTTTCTTTTAAATTATACTAATTCACCGACTGTAGGCACTTCACGCTCAAGTTCAGAAGATGCAATTTGAAACAGCGGCTCTTCTACAAACCCTCCTCCCATGTGGCCATTGTGTACTGCCAATCAATCTTGAGGAAAAACTGTTTGAAGGCCTACTAAAAAGCCAGCTGACCTGGTTAAAGTCTCATGCATACTTGTACCAAATGGTGAAAGGACTGCGTAAACCTGCCGACAGATGCGATGACTTGCGCCTTGAACATATTAAAAGTTCTGGGGATGCGGTAGGTGCATTTTTTCCTTATTCTTGTTTTTAGTATGGTCATCTCAAAGTCACAGGACGTAGTATTTCAAAAGAATTCGTTTCTAAGGTGTCTTTTGGAGACTGTCTGGTTAGTAAATGCCGTCCTATTTTTCGTTTCCAGTAAAAAATGTAATCCTATGCTCCATTTGTTCTTACATGAACCCATTTAGCGTGATAGAATGATTCTCTTTTGTAACGTGGCTCGGTGTAAAACGTTTGCGTTTCAGGAAGAAAGCGAATTCATCGCAGGGAATATGGGACAGCACAGCGCTATCTTCATCTCATCCACAACGGTTCTGACAAGCCTTCTGCCGTGTTTATTTTCTGGATCGCGATGTTTCTTCCCTATCACTGTGAATAGTTTTGGTCAGTTTGTGTCTTTCCTTACAGATATTGTCTGCTTTCTGAAGCAAGCGACTTTTGTCAGACCGCGAAAGTACTGAATTATACTTTGGACGACGTTTATAATGTCTGGTCTAGTCGGCCTTGATTAGGTCACCAAGTGTTCTTCTTAACGCGTGATGACCCATGGGAGCAGATCTGGACAACTCAGCCTTTGCTCCTCTCCAGCAACGGAGACCGAGCACTGAAGGTCGAAGAACCTCTTCAAAGTTTATACCCACCGTCTCGAGCCAGATTTTGGGTTAATTCCTCTCCGAAACTTGCCACCTCGTTAAAGACGGATTTTGAGTTTGAAATAAGTAGAGTGATACCTTATAACTGAAATCTGACCCCTAGGTCTGCCTTACTCTATTAACAACCAACCACTAGTGATGAAAGGCACATGCTCGCGTAAAAATTGGATGTCGCCTGACATATCTCCGTCTGCAGTCCCATTACATTGTAATTATGGTGATTTTCCTACTGCAAGAAATTCAGTTTACGCCTAAGTTTAAGGTTAAGTTGGGGAGTACAGGCAAAGCATGTTGTATCCAGCCGTTGCCCTCAAAGGCAAAATGCACTTATCCTAGGATTCCAAGCGCTATCGTACGGTTTTTGTTTTTGACTTACGAAAAAGGGCCCTGACGGGGTTAGATCTTTTTGGTTGTCATAATGAAGTCATAAAATGGGATCAGCTATCAGCCAGTCTTGCATGTATCACGGCAATCTTCATGTGTGTTTAACGCCTGTGACGGTGCATTCTATTCGCATTGTCATCTAAAGAACCTATTTTCTAGAGGGCGAGGAAAGAAAACGCATCACACTGCA